GATAGCTACTTTAGTAGCTATCCTATCCTTAGACCCATCAAAGCCTTCTAATCCAAGAGGGGAAACTAAAATGTGTTCGAGGCCATTTTGTTTAGCAAATCGAGGGTTATATAAAGCATAGGAAAGACAACTTGAGTCTACTATTATATTAGCTTAAGCTATTCCGTTAATAAATCCGGATATAGCAAATGGCTCACAAAACATGTCCTTTTTAAAATCCTTCCATTGCTCTTATGTACTTTAGGGTAGAGTATTCTCGATAATTGCTTTAAAAACGGCCTTTCTTTCCCCCTATACACGACTTCGTACAGGGTTTAGTCTTTTCCCGAGTCTGTAACCTTCTCAGTTTCTTACTAGGCTATAACTAGTCCGTGCTGGGCTACTATAGCCTGTGGGAGCCTCCATCCTATTCGGTAGTCTCGACCTATATAGCCTAGCTTCCCACACTTGAGATATTAGTCATTAGCAATCCTAGAGCTCTGTATCTCCTTTAATACAAAGACTCTGTTAGTTGGTTGCCAATCTATAACTTTAGGGGTTTTTGGAGGGGCTCGAGGCTAGAATGAAGAAGAGGCTTCGAAGGCTTTAAAGTTGTCCGAGGTGAGTCGTAGGAGGCTAACGTACCCGGTGTACAAGGGTGGTTCCGATTGAGAGACTAAGAGCGACTTCAATTTATAGTTAATCCCGGCTTTGAGGAACCCTTTCTTGACTATATCGTCCCATCTCTAGCCACTTGCTTCTAAAAGAGTCTGTTTAAACTCTTGTAAGTACTCCCGGAATGGCTTCCTTCCCTGCTTAATTTGGTTGACTTTAGCTATAGCCTTCTGTACCTTTTGAGGATCCGAAAAGGCTATGTTTAGCTATTCTAGGAAGGCTTGTACTGTGAATTGTGTTCCGACCTTCTCGGTATAGTCGATCCAGGGGAAGATGCGAGAGGAGGCTTCCCCCTTTAGGCAGGCGAAGCCGTACCATACTTGGTCCCGTTCCGAGTCGCCACAAGCTAGGGCATCTACCCTAAGCTTCTGGCTTAGAAGGCCTCTAAATTGGGGGTATATAAACGGGTCCGAATAAGAGTATTCTGGTTGTGGAAGAGTGTGCTTAGGCCGGAAGGTCGTACGAGGGGTAATGGTTGCAGTCTGAGGCTAGATTAGGGAGTTTGGTTGAACTATAGGTTCTAATTGAGTTTTTGGTTGTAATTGTAGGTTTTGGAGTAGCTGTAGGATGGTGGCGTTAGTCTGTTGTTGTTGCTTATAGGTTTCGTAGATCCATTCGGCATTGATTGTCGGGGTTGGAGGGGTATTACTTATTGGCGTCGTCGTTTCTGGTTCCATTTTAGCGATTGGATAATGGATTATGACTAACTAACTGACTGACTGACTGACTGACTAACTAATGACTGACTGACTGACTAACTGACTAACTGACTGACTAACTGACTAACTGACTAACTGATTGATTGATTGATTGATTGACTGACTGACTGATTGACTGACTAATTGACTGACTAACTATTTGACTAGCTGACTAACTGACTGACTAACTAACTGACTGACTGATTGTTTTGATCGAATTCAACGTGTAAGGGGCTACGCTAAGAGGGAACACTTAAGACGTAGGCAGTGGGTAAAACTGTCGTTGAATTCGATAAAGAACTAAGAGCTAGCTAGCTATGGCTTTATATACACAGAATAGGGGCTTCGAAGAAGCCTCGACACACGCTAAGTGTTCTAAGATTAAAGTCTTAGATCGGAGATTACACTCGTAAAGAAAATAAGGAGGCTAGTGCTTAAGCGAGGCGTAGCCGAAGCATTATAGGGTTCAACCCCTGATATTATCCCCCCGCATTCCCTCTGGCCTCCCAATTATCGAGGGCTGTCAAGTCTTTGACAAAAGAGTATGGTTCCCATGTAGGCCGTGTATAGCCTTTCCACTTAACGAGATATTGCTAGCCTCTTCCGCGTGCCTGTTTCTGGCCTAGGATTGTTTCGACTTCGTACTTAGTAATATTATCGACTAGTTGGCCTAGAGGCTGTGTTTCTGTGACGGTCTGGCCGGGTAGAGGGTCTATGTGGGCTGGCCGTAGAAGTCGGGTGTGGAAGACATTGTGTATGCTAGGTGGTGTATTAAGCCGGTAGTTATGAGAACCTAGTATTTCTAGAATCGTGTACTTAGTATAGCGGTGGTCTAGTGACTAGTTCGGCCGTTGAGTCTTAATATTCTCTAAAGAGAGCCACACTTTGTCGCCAACCTTATAGGCTACGGCCTGGTCCCGATATGCGTTCGTCTGCTTTTCCTAGTTGTCTTGGGCAGCAGCTATAGTAGCTTATATGAAGTCTCGAGTATTTTGTAGCTTCTAAAGGAGTAAATCGGCTTATTGGACTAGAGAGTAACGATGTTGTATACTAGGAGGTTTAAAGTCGAATAGGGTTTGTTCCTAGCTATGCGTTAAAAAGAAGGGACTAACGCCTGTAGACGTAGCATTACGGCCATTGATTGCTAATATTCCTATAGGCAGAACTTCTACCCAATTGTCTTAGGCCCAATCAATGAGTTCTCGTAGCGTTGTCTTGATTGTATCATTAGCTTTCTTAGTGGATCCGTCTGTCTCAGGGGAATAGGCTATAGAGAGTCGTTTAGTGATTTTGAGTTAATCGCAGAGTCGTTTCCAAAAGGCACTAGTAAACTGACTGCCCCTATCGGAGACTATAGCTGAAGGTAGAAAGTGGTGGGAGTAATAGGCTCGAAGGAACCATTTTACTAAAGCTTCGACCGTAAGCTCGGGGAGTGCTCCTGCTACAATCCCTTTGCTAAGCTTATTAGTAATAACAACTATCGTAGTGCAGCCCTCTAATTCTGGTAGCTCTGTGATAAAGTCGATTGATATTTTAGCCTAAATTCGGTCTAGAATAGGCAGTGGCTTTAAGAATCCTTGTCTCCTAGTACGCTAGGACTTATTTAAACCACAAGAGTCACAATTCCTAGTAAACTGCCTGATATCGTCTCCTATTCGTGGCCAAAAGTATTGTCTAGCTAATATAGCGTATAGGCCTTCTCGGCCGGGGTGTACGTGAACTAGAGAGTCGTGGGTAGCTTGTATAAGGCTAGTTCGGAGCCGTTTTGGGACCTATAATCGATTTCGGAACATAAGGCGGTCGTCAACTATAGAGCATTCGGCTATAGATAGCTTGAGTAAGAGGCTAGGAGGGAGTTTATAATGCCCTTCTCGTACGGCTTTGTGTACTGTGTAAAGCTCTTTATTGTGCTCAATAGCCTGGTCCTAGTCTGTGAAGAGTTCAAAGGGAGTCTTTGGGGCCACGGGGGCTACTCGAATGGTGGCCGCCGGTATAGGGCTCTCGTCTAGCTGGATTATGTGAGGTTTGAGGAGTTAAAGTTGCCGTTCTTATACTCGATTGTCTTGATT